TGCAAAACCAAACTGGTACTTGTTGCTGGTGCTGGGACCCTATGTAGGTCAACCTTTGTGAGTCATGAATCTGAGCTGCAGTGGCCCTGCAGCTGCTTCTTGATGCAGGAGGGTAATCGGTCTGATCATTCCTTGTGCCAGTTGCCCCCACCTCTCTTCTGCTTCCCTGGCAGACACCAGAAATGCCATGCCATGCCAGCCCACCCGGCTGCAAGCTGCACAAAAATCCCTGGCTCGTCAGGCCAGGAGCCCAAAACGACTTACAGACCCTCCCATTCGGTGCCTCCTTCATGAGCACAGGGCTTGTCCTACTGCTGGGAAATGCTTCTGCACAGTGCCCTTTCAAGCAAAAGTCCTACAGCCCACAGGACTGCAATTTAAAATGTCACTCTGAAATGTTCTGTGCCTGCAGATGGAGGGGGGAGCTGGCATCTGACAGCTGTGGGATTGCTCTGAAAGGCAGTTTTGTCTGCAGTGAGACCCCTTACCCTCTCCAGAGCCGCAGGTCCATACAGCAGTTAATTCAGCAGTGAAAAAAATGTTGAATGATGCAGATGGTCCTCCTTGTTATGTCCTAAGCTTGACTTGCTTAGGCACTTTTGAAACTCCTGTGAGCCCCCCACCCATTGCTTTGTAGGGTCCTCAGCACTGAAATCAGTCTCAGCATGACCCTCAGTCCCCTTCCTACCAGTTTTCAGTAACAGAAATGGAAACCAAATCCAAATCTTCACCCCCATCAGAAACCTCAGTTGCAAGACTGTCCTACCATTTCCTATGCTGCTTTTATTTTTGAACCTTTAGACCTGTGACACATCCTCTACAAAGGTTAAACTCAAAATTAGCTGTACAAGCATAGAAAGGAAAGTCTGTCTCTCAGCGTACATTATAGTCCCCAGCCCCCTCCAAAACAAAATGGAAGTGTCTCTGGTTCAAGGCAACCTACACAACAGCGAGCTGTAAGAGCTGTAAGCTATTATTTTAGCTCCCAAGGAAAGTAATTACTATAGCAACCGACACATCCGAAAGGCTCTTTGGCTGCTACTGAGAGACAAACAACTTGCGCACAAAGGCACATCTGAAACATGTTGTGTAAAGTGTTCTCGGGTAGCTGTGTTTTTTGAAGAGCTTTATAAAACATGCTTAACTGGCTCCTGATAAATGACTGCCAGAATAACAGCAAGCAACTGTACTGTGCCATGATCCTAAAATAACCTAATCAATGGCTCAGTATATTTGGCCCTGAAGAGATGAAGCAAAAAAAGTGCAGGCTCCATTTTAAGCCTGTGTGCTGGGAAGTACCCAGCAGAGCTGAAGATACATTCAATAAACAGACAATAAAATGGTGGGGGGAATGTCTCCCCTTTTGGTCTGTGTACCAATGCAAACTCTCTGCAGGCTTTAGTGCCAGCTCATCCCCTCGGGCTTACACAAAGTTTGTTGGAAAAAGGGAATTTAATTACAGTCTTGTAATGCTGGAGGGTGTAACAAGTGATGTCTGCGTTCTTTTCTGTGTCTGTGCAGCAACCAGCCCCAACAGACCCCATCTCCAGCTGCAGTGCTGGGTAGGTTAATGTTGTTATCAGTGAATAAGGAAGCTTCTTGGGCGACAGCAAACTGTAACCATTGGCCATTGCTTAAGTATTACAGCATTTGGAGTGTCTCTGTCACCTTCAAATCAAAATGCCACTGGTGTAATAACAGCTTGATTGTTTCTGGGCTCTGCGTGCAAAGCTGCACCATTTAATGGTGATGAAACAAACAGCTTAGGTTCCCCAACACAAGAGATCTCATCCAAGCAACATGTCCCAGGGGTGCTGTCCAGAGATTCCTCACAGGGAAGATACAGACATGTCACCTATCTCAAGGATGGTGAGTGGCATTAAGGTCACACTCCTGCTCCATTGCATAAGGCAGCTCTGCTGAAAATGGGGATTATGGATCTGGGTAACTCAGAACAGAATCGGATCCTGTAAGTGAGCATAACACATTCCTTCACAAACCTGAATTGCCTTTTAAGATTTTTTTTCATCAGTTGAGTCCTAAAGTCTTGCTGTGGTTCCATAATAAACTGAAAATCAAAGCTGGGTTTAAAATAAAGACAAAATAAAGGAAGGAAGAGTAGTGACATAATTTATTACAGAAGTTGCTTAGGACCAACCAAAAAAGGATCTTGTGATAGTGGGTACTGCACGACAGAGAGTTTGGTTCACTGTAGCCTTTTAAGCAAAGTAACTTTATTTTGGATGAAAGAAAAACATCTGAAAAAAGCACAAAAATTAAGTATCCATAAGAAAATAGCACAAGTATGTGTAACTCCGATGCCTTGCTTCTGCCTTGCAAAACAGTAGCTGCCCCACAGGCACCTGGAATTTCCAAGCTGCTCATCTCAGGGAAATAAATTCTCCTCTAATTTTTCTCAGAACAGGTTTATTTTCTGACAGTAGTTGGCAATGCATTAAATGGCTCCCTCTCAAAAAAAACCCCACAACTCCCAAACTGTTCTTTTTCATAGTGTGCCTTTTTATTAGCTTTTAGGTGGGGGCAAGACAAGACCGTTCACTCACAGGCTGACTTCCCAGTTCTCCTTTGCTACTAAATGAAATCTCTTGCCTGGTTTAGAGGAGCTGGGGCCAGGCTTCTGGGAAGCACGTAACCTGTCTTCATGCCATGCCTCTGCTATACCTGCAGGGTCACTGGCTGTGATAGAACATAAAAATCCTTGTTCCACACAAACATTTTGGGTTTGGGGTTGCAAAAGGCTGCTGCAGTACCTTTTCGGTGAGAGCAAGGGGAGATATGGAGAAGAAAGCTAGTCCATTGCCCAGCTACTTGTGCAGAGCCGCAAGGCAGAGAAGTGAAGCCAAAGTCGTGGAGATGTGCAGCAAGCTTTTCTGAACACTCACTGGGTGTGGAAGAGCCTTGCTGCCAGTCAGGCATGTTCAGGCCTGGTACTGCGGTTTTCTTCTGGGAAGGAAGAAGAAAAAAATGTAAGGAGCTTGCATGTGACCCTCACTGTAAGCAAAACTCAGTGCCACAATGAGTAAGGCCTGAAACAAACTCTCTCTTAAAAATAGGAATGACCGAAAAAAAAATCCAGTGTAGTGAGATGCTGAACATGACTTGCTCGTATCTTGCCTCTGCCCCTTGTCTGCCTCCCTCATTTGCCAGAGCTAGACAGGTAGGATGCACGCAAAGGCAAACTATGAGAAATCCTCTAGGTAATGAAGCAGGACTCTTGAAATACCTTGCTCAAATCCTGAAGCTGATATTGCTCCACTGCCCTTACTGTTTCGTGCAAGATTCAGCCTTGTGCAAGGTGGCTTCTTTCCTGCTTTATCTGTCAGCTTGAAGATTGGGTGGATGGTTCATGAACAGATTTGTCTGTGGTATTGCTTTTGCACCTGCACAGTCTTAGTTGTCACTGGGGCTGAGTGATCTTGCATCTGTGAAAGTATGTGAGAAAATGAAAGAGTGTGCATGACTATTATATCAAAAGAGTTGGATCTGGACCTTCTCTGGTGTGAATCAGAGAACTAAATCAAAATGGCAGCTCCCATCATGTTAAAAAAACACACCTTAATGAAAGCCTGTCTTTGCAAAGCAGAAATGCTTCCTATGTGTGGAGAAGCATGTTAAGAGAGAGGTGTTGAGGGAGCCAAGGTGCTAAGGAGTGAGCTTCTGGGAATGCTTTGCATGTGAAAACACTTCACGAATCAGTTATAAATGTGGCTGCCCTCTCTTCCACCTGCCAGGAGCCTTCCTTGCTCAAAACAATGCTTGTGCTGCTCCCCAGCTGGTTTCACACAGGAGGTGGTATTGATGAGCAGTAAAAAGCATATTTACTTGCAATGTTGTTTTCCGATAGAGAGCACTAGTTGTGAAGGTGCAGAAGGAAACGCAGCAACAGCCATTTGTGTTACGCTGCAAACATGAGGCCATCGTTAACAAAGAAGTTACAAAGAAGGGTTTCAAAACCACCTCTGCTCAGCCCTGGGTGGGAGGTTTTGTTTCTTGTGTCAGCTTGGAATCTGTAGTTTGTCTTGTCTAAAGGTGATTGCTGTGTTGGAAATGAATATTTAGCAACCACTGGTTGATTGATTTAGTTTTTTTGGTGGCAGTTCTTGGAATTAATTGCGTCTTTGAACAAATTCTGAAAATGGGCCCTCATAAAAATATAATAATATCAAATTGTAGTAAAGTTCTTTCGCCTTGCACTTGAGCCTTGCCAAGAGATGTCAGAAATGTGCACACACATTACTTAAATGTTGCTAGGGTTTTCCTGCAGACTGAAATTGCCTGCAAAGACCTGAGACAGACAGGAGAAGTCAGTATTTCAAAAGAGGATGATTTTTAATGGAGTCCAGGTCAGAGCCACATGAACGTGACTTTGAGAACTGACACCTGGCCAGCAAATGCCCCGAGCCCGATTGACAGTTCTGTCAGCAGGCACTAGACCTGCCTCGTGCCTCTTGTGGAGGGGCTAAGGCGGGGGCATAAAGGGAGAAAACAGCTTTTTGTCATGTCATACTTTGCAAGGGCCCTGAAAGCTGCGGCGGTGTAATGGAAGTGGAGGAGAAGAGCCGGTGGCGGTGATGCTCTGTCCTCCGAAAGCCCAAATGTGCAGGCTGGCAGCCGCACTGCCTGGCCCTGGCAGCACAAGTCTGAGCATGCGCAGCCTTGCTCCCTTGTTTTGGCATCCTTCCCTCTCTCCTCTGCCACCTCCAGCTGACCGGACCCAGAGGGCCGGTGCTGTCAGGTGAAAGCCCTCGGCACCTCTCCATGCTCTACCGCATCCCTCCATGGCCGCGCTGACGCTTGCCGGCGTGCCGTCCGCTGAGCCAGGGTGGTGGGGAGCGGCCCCCGAAGCATGGCGTAACTCCTCCCAGTGCTGGAAGGCAATCATGTGATTTTTATGATTGCTCTCAAGAGCTGTGTTTGCTCTGCTCCCGGCCACCATTGCTTCCCCCTGAGCGTCCTTCCCTGGCAGGGCTGCAGCTCCTGCCGGCGGTGCTGCGGGCCAGATTTTGGGGAGCAATGACAGAAGTGAAGAGAGAGGTGTTCGGGCAGATGCCCCAGGAGGAAGGAGGAGGAGTGGTGGAAAAGTTCATCTTAAAGTCGGACAGTGTGAAAGTGGAAATCCTGTCCTTAGGGTGCATAATTTCTGCTCTGGAGATGAAAGGAAGGGATGGGGAGTGTTCAGATGTTGTCCTAGGCTTTGACACTTTGGAAGGTGAGTCTAAATCTGTTTATTTAAAAAAAAAAATTAAAAAAAAAAATTAAAAAAAAAAAATCAGGCAATTTAACCAGGGTTTTGTGGTTTATTGCCACACTGCATGATCTGCTTCTAAATATCTTCTCCAAATAGTGGGCTGAATAAATATAACTCTTGCTGCCTGTTCTGGGCTCAGTGGTGGACAGGGAATGGGGAGACTGGTGGCTCCAGGTTGCAGTGTGCCCCTCTAACGGGGCAGTGCTGTGTCACACTTTGACCGGCAGTGACAGAGGCCTCTTCTGCAAATCTGCAAAGAATACAAGATCCCATCAGGCTATTTTAATCAAAGATGTGCATGACTAGTGAGCTGTGTGTCCTGCGAAACACTGGGACTGCGGTCACCTATTTAGTACCAGAGGGAAGCAGAGAGAGATGCCTCTGAGTCCGTAAGCACACCTGGAGACCACCCATCCTGTCCCAATCATTCCGTTTAACCGCATGCTGTTTTTCTGGCCAGGTTACACAAGGAAGCACCCCTTCTTCGGCGCCGTCGTGGGGCGTGTTGCCAACAGGATTGCAAAGGGGAGGTTTGCCGTGGACGGGAAGGAGTATCAGCTGTTCCTCAACAATGGGCCCAACAGCCTGCACGGAGGAGCCAGGGGATTTGACAAGGTGAAAATCAGGCTGGCGGGTCTTGGTGTCCTCTGGCACACAGCCTGTGGGGTTGTGACAAGAGGATATGGTGTCCTTACTCCCCACCCTGTAGGGTTTTCTGGTGGTGATTGAGTTGAATCACCTTCCAGAAAGTGCTGTGAGTGCAGGAACAGGGGGAAGTGAGACCCTGTGAGCTGCTGGGTCAGCTCGTCTTTGCCCAGGTGGCTTAGCGGGGCTCACTTATGTCATCCTTGGATGCCATGCAGAGGGCTGCTGTGCTTCCTCTGTGTTACCGCAGCCCTGAGGCCTTGTGAGCCCAGTTCTGACAGGGTTCTCCTGGGGCAACGTGCTGCTCCCACAGAGCCTGGGCTGGGACATGGCAGTGAGGACCCAGCCTCATGCATGATGGAGGGTCCCGAGGCGCCAGCCACACTGCCCCAGCGTGGGTGCTGTGGTTGTCCCAGTGCCCAAAGAAAGTTTTCTGGGGAAGAGTGATCCATGCAGACTCATTTGCGCCTGTAGTTTCAAGGCTGTTACCTGCCCATAGCTCCTCCCAGAGTCAGAAGGTCCTGGGTTTGCAGAAACTGAGTATCATTGCTGCTTGTTTTTGAGAGCACCCCCAAGTAAGGGGAGAGCAGGGTGTGCTGTAGCTTCAGTGTGGTTATTACATTATCCCCTTCGATGCTGCTTTCATCCCAGTGATGGTATACCCTGGGCTCTCGCTCTGACTCACAGCAGCTGGTGACTAGATCAAGCCTGCAAAATGCCTCAGCATCGCTGTGTCCCCTCCCCAGCCCTTCCTTGTGACCTCCCAAGGTAAAATAACCTTCCCCTGGCCCCAGGGTACTCAACCCTTCCTATCTTCTCCCAAAAGCTGCTGCTGAAGTCCATCCGTGTGCTACAAGTGGTAAGAGCAGTGGAGCATCTCTTGTCTTGAAAGCCTTGCTGATAACCCTGATGATTGCATAGCAGGCTCAGAAGTCTCTGCTTTTCTAAAGCCTTGGGCTTTGTTGGATCAAAAGCATTTGTAACCTGCAAGTAGCTGATCCACCATTTCCCCAGAGGAACACATGTGAATGTGCTGGTGCAGCTGCTTTCCTGGGTTAATGTTTTGTTTTGTGAAAGAACATCCAGGGTGATAGGACAAAAGTCAGAGTGTCTGGAAAAAAGCTCACTTCTGGGCAGTGCAGTGTGAACTGGCATCAGATCAGGATCAAACACTCCTTAGCAGCCTTAGAAAAAAGGGAGTACTGGAGTGACTTGGCTGCTGTACCCCTAAAGAGGACAATTTGATTTAAAGTTTTTTTATACGCCATGACCCCCTGTGAGCTGGAGCTGAAAACGTGCACTCCTTTGCATCCGGGGCTTCCAGGCTGTCTTCTGCAGACAGGGGATGTGGTCTCTTCTCCTGCCTCTTACCCTTGCTTGCTGAAAGCATGCCAGCCTGGTGAGGACAAGGCAGCGACACCTCTCAGCCAGGTCTTTGTGTCCTCCGGCCCATGGGGCACGCTTGGGCACCTGCTCAAGACCCCCTCCAGCCAGGTAATGGTCACTGTGCAGAGACCTGTGGTCAGCCCTAACAAAACCAAGACATGCTGGCTCTTGGCTGTGACCGTCCTGGCCATCTTGTCTGCTTTTCCTGATCTTGCAGACCTCAGTGCTGCAGTCAGCACATGGTCTGATGACAAAGAAGCTTGCAGCCACACTTCTGTGGCAGCAATACCTGACCACGCTGCTGGGGGACTGGGGAACTTTAGAAAATAACCCTCTTATCTTTAAAAAATAGTGATATTTGTATGCTTACTGGTCTTTAACAGCTTTTTCTTTGAAGAACTTAAATAGAAACCTATATCTAAAACTACAGCATCCCACAGCAGTGGGAGCTGCAGTCAAACTGCACTCGGTGCAGTAGGACCTGCTCTGCAGCCTGCTTATCACATTTGGCACCCTCAGTTCCCACGTTTGGTGAAAACGTTGGCTTTTGGCAAGTGCCCTGAATTTGTGATCTCTGCAGAGGACATGAAAGGGATCATCTCAAAACCCTTATCTGGCCCCTGCCCCTAGATCTGTCCTCTTTGATTAGACAGTAACTATTCCTTAGGTAGATGCAAAGCTCCAGAGACTGGGCACCTCCCCTCCTGTCACACATCCATCCTGCAAGGGGCTGAGATGTCTGCTTAGCATCAGGTCCACGGCCAGGGTCAAAGAGGCGGTCTGGATAGCTAAATTTACAGTGTGCTGGCTTCCTTCGCTCGCCAGCAGGTTTGGCTCCAAGCAGAGCCCCGGTCTCTGGCAGGGGAAAGAAACGGAGAGGTCCCAGTTCTCTGGTTCAGCACTGACGTGTGGATGTATCTGGCAATACATCTGGTACTATTTAACCCAACCCCAGACAGTAAGCAGGAGCTCCCAGTGTGTATTCACATAGTCCTAGAAGCCATCCCCGAGTTAGCTGAGGGAAAGGCAGCAGCTTGTTGAGGCAATGTTGCACACCAGGAGATCCAAGGGAGAGGAAATAAGTCCAGCTGCAGGGCAAAAATGAAACACGTGGACCCTCTTAGGCTGTAACACAGCCTGGGACAGACCCCCATCAGATCAAACTGCCTTGTTTGTGTGGCTGCTCATTGGAAAGCTTGTTCCCTGCTGCTGGCCCTGGCTGACCAAGAGCAGGCTGGTGCTTGTGTTTTCTCCCACTTCCCCTTTTCAACAAGGGAATATTGTTTTTTAGTCCTTCATAGGGAGAAAAAGATTGTTTGGGCTTTTTTTTTTTTTTTTTTTGTCTTCTAGGAGTAAGAGCAGGAAAGATGATTGAAAAAAACCTTTGTTTCGGGGCTTCATTCTTTGAGTAGCTTTTGTCCCTGGCTTCAGCCCAACCTAGGGCAGGAGAGAAGGGCACTGTGTTTCCCATGACTGTCCCACCAATGGCATGTTCCTTGCAGGTTCTCTGGAGCCCCCAGGTCCTCCCAAATGGTGTCTGCTTCTTCCGGCTTAGCCCTGATGGTGAGGAAGGCTACCCTGGTGACCTGAAAGTCTGGGTGACCTACACACTCAGCGGCGGGGAGCTGGCCATCAACTATCGAGCCCAGACCAGCAAGACAACACCCATCAACCTGACAAACCATGCATACTTCAACCTCGCAGGGCAGGTAAGCGTGGGGAGATGAAGCCCGTGGAGGGACACTGTGCAAGGGAAAAAAGCCTCAGGATCCATGGGATGATTCATGGGCTTCCCATGGGATCATTGGGTCCAACATGCTGATCTGGAGACACAGCATGCTTCTGGGGATACAGCGATGGGGGTTGTCTCTATGCATCATGGGCTGCATGCAGCCTACAAGCTGAGACAGGACTAAATCACAAAGACCTCAAGTGAGGATGCATTATCCCGGTGCCTTGTGAACAGAGACATCCCATCATGAATATTAACTCTCCTTTTGTGTGTAACTGGAGAGTTTCAGTCTCTCCTGGTTCCTTGGGAAGATTACAGAGGAGGTGCAGAACCGGCATGCCTTAGTGGTGGACTGGCATTTCTTAGCTGTCTTCTGTTGGCGCTCCTGAGACAACGTACTGAACCCTTGTGTGGATGGTGTGGCTGAGATCAGGGCCTGTAGTGCCAGCCAGAGTCTGTGCAGCACCAAAATACCCAGGTCAAAATGGGGAGGAGAAACATCATGGAAAGGAGATGTGAGGCGGCCAAGGTTGCAGAGCAGGGCAGTAGCAGGGTGCAGAGGGCTCACCCATACCAGTCCAGGGTCCTGCCAACTAGACAGGCACTGTATTGCACCTGTGGTTTAGTCTCACCCTGTTTATAACTGGCCTTGGAGGAAAAGGATCTGAGAAATAAACTCTTGCTGGGCAGAGCAATAGGATGGGACAGCGCAATCACACAAAGATGCTTAAAAGTGTTAGTGAGAGACATCCCAGCCCCTCCATGCAGGAGGTCTGCTCAGGCTACTGCCCTAATAATGGCTGTGCAGTTGTTAGTTTACCCTCTGTTTGTCCTCCCAACGGTACAGTAATATCAACACCTACAGCATGCAACGCAGGCGTGTTTCCAGAGGAACAGGAGACCTTTGGGACCTCTCTGCTCAGATTAGACAGTGACGTGCAGGCTCAACTTTGATCCTGCTCCCCTTCCAGCCCGGCAGGTTCCCTGCCAGCATCCCTGAGGCTGCAGGAGAGGAAGAGGAGTGCAACCCCCTGCTCTGCAGGAGATGAGCCAAGAGGATGGGTTGCACTTCCCCACGCTTGCTTCCTTCCCCTCTTGCCCACCGCTGTATGCTCAGCAAGCAGCATGTTTTGGCTAGTTGATCTGCAGGGTGGTAGTGCTTGGTGAGGTGCAAGTTCAGGCTGATAGTCTCAGCCCTGCAGGATTTACAGCTCCTAGGTCCCATGCAGGTTTTTGTCTGTGCTGGTACCTTTGTCCTGTGCCCAGGGTCAAGGTGGGATGACGGCCAGGAGGTCCCCCAGGCACTACCAGATCAGCCGTAGCACCACCATGGGCAGTCACTTCCCGGGAGTCCTTAGGGCTGCCTGAAAGGTGGAAGGGCTGCAGCAGGAATCCTAGTATTTCCCACCCTCCTGCAGGGCTCACGGGATATCTATGACCATGAGATTTCTATTGAAGCGGATTCCTACCTGCCTGTGGACAACACCAAGATCCCTACTGGTGGGTGGTGCGACACCCGCGGCACATGGTGGAGATGGTTTTACAGATGAGTGTTGGTGGGTATCGGGGAACAGCACTGCCCGGCAAGGGGGGACACACCAGGACCCAGGGCACCCCAGGCACAGCAGGGCCCTCACCCCTTGGCACAGTCCCACAGCACCTGAGCAGAGTGGGCAGAGCCAGGTGTGGGTAGCAGGGTCCATCACCAGCCCCAGACCTGGAGAGGAAGAGGACCAGGGTCTGTCCAGGGGGTGCAGGTAGGAAATGGAGCCAGACGCAAGTGGGATGTGAGACTGCAACATGGGTCCAAGGGGCCCATCCAGGAGACGAGCTACCTATGTCACAGGATCGAAGCACGTCCCTCCAGACCTGTTTGGCCAGCATTTCCCTGCAGGCCGAGCCATTGTTCCCAGGGCCAGTGGGGCCACCAGAGAGCACTTTGAAAGGTGGGATTGGCCTGGGGTTCGCCTGCTTTGCTTCTTCCAGCAGTGTTCAGCTTTACCATACTTCTCTACTGGGATTTTCCATGTGATGTCAAGGTCTTACTTCCACAGATCTTATTTCCATAAGATCAGCCCATATGCAAAGTCCACAGAAAGCAGGAGAATTTGTTTCTTAAGCCTCAGTAAAATGTGGGAGACGCATGCAGCATGCTCCAGGCACCAGGCTGCTGTCAGTGAATGCAACAGCACACCAGGACATGGTCAGACTCCCTGATCCGGAGGGCAGCTCCCAGGCCTGGAGCTGAGCTCTAGAGCTGCTGGGATCTCTGGTGCTCGGGACCCCAGCATTGTCCTTCCCTGCAAAAGCTGAGCCACCAGTCCCTTCATCGGGATGAGGGAGCAGCTGCTACTGGCTGGGAGGCTGAAGACACAAAACCAACACTTTTCTTTCCTGTCTTTAATGTCCTGAATGGCTAAAAGAGGAAAGCCAGTTAAGGAAAACAGCATATTTTGCATGCTAAGCAGGTTAATTAAACAAAGGTGGTATTGCTACTGTCTCCAGCCTCAGCACAGAGAAGCAAGCTGGCAGCCTCTTGCACCCAGTCTTGATTCAGGGGGTAAAACAGAAAAAACAGGGCTTTCTAGTTTTTTTTCCCCCACCACTTCCACTCTGTTCCTCCCCATAAACAACTGAGCCGCTAAGTTAAATAATCTGAACAAGCTGGGACAGGGAACACGTTCCCCATACCCGCAGGAGAGCCAGCACCGAACACATGCCCTCGGCAATAGTCCCACTGCTAACAGGGTGCTTTGGGTGGCTTGACTCCAGCCCTCCCACCATGCTGCTCCAACACTCACTTTTCCTTTAGCATAAGTGACTGTGCTGAGTTGCAGTAAGAGTTGATCTAATTGCAAAATGAATCTGATACCAAGTTTTATCGTTTTTAAGAATGAAAAGCATTATTTAAAAAAGAAAAAAGCTGTGTTTGGCTTAATTTTTGAAAAATGTAAAATAGATTAAAATAATGAAAAAAGGAGACTTCTAGATTTGCTCCTGAATGATGGCTTTTCATCCAGTCCCACTGGCTTAGAGGAATGGAGGCCATCGGAGTGCAGATACTGAGCCGTGGTAGGCGAGGGTGCCGTGCCATACTGGAGGTCTCCAGAGGACAGAGTGGTGACAGGACCACCAAGCAGCCGGTCTGGGCCATAAATGCCAGGAAGGCTCCTGAGTGCAGCCAGCATCAACGGAAGAGAAACTGGGTGTGGGGCAGCATCTGTGCCCAAGGAGTGCATGAGCCTGCGGGGTGGTTTCTGGTAAGCGTAGGCTCTTCTGGAAATGGCAGGGCTTGTTTCCCTCATGGTCTTGCAGGGCGGCTTTGCTGAGTGCACCTTCTGACTTTGGGAGGGAGAGGAAGAGAGGCTTTAAAAAGTAAAAAAAAGAAAGCAAGAAAGCTTTTTAGCTCGGGTGTCTGCTAAAACCAGAGTTACGTCTGTGTTCATGAACCAAAACCACTGTGCGTGCATGCATCAGCTTGCACCTGGAGGAGTGGGTCTCCCAGTCCAGGTGGCTTTTGCTCAGCTTGGTGTGTCATGCCTGGGCTCAAGCTGGGGAAGAGCTTAAGGCCGTACCCAACCCACTGCCCTGCATCTCCTCACTGCTTTCACCATGAAGCTATTTCACATCTTAATTGCAGCCAGCTTGCTGCCCCTGCTTTTTGCAGTTCCTTCTTGGTGTTTTGGGTAAATGTAGCCTTTGAAGCTGATAAAACTGTATAGTCTTAGCCCTGGGGTGAAGATGAGATTTGTGCAACTATTAAAGACAGAGCCCTTGTGTGCAATGGCTGCTGTATTTTATGTAAGTGCCTAAATCAAAATGTGGTTTTTTTCAAGGCATTTTTCCACACCACTACTGAATTCAGTAAATGCGCTCTTTTTAGATAGGATCAGAAGCCACAGAAGTGTGCTGTTTATCAGGTGGAGACTGATGTTTCTCAAGATTTGCAGAGCAGAACAAGTGCAGAGCTGCAGCCGAGCTGGGCATGAGTGCAGCGAGCAGAGCACAGTGCGTGGGGCTGGCAGCAGGACCGGCATGCTCGTGCACTCGGCAGCTGCCTGCTGACCCTTGGAAACCTCCCCCTTTACAGAGGGGTGGAAAAGGGTGACTTTAGGGAAAAATCCCCTCCCCTGCCCTTCCTCTCTCACCTTCCCCTGTGCAAAACCCCTTGCCTTTGGGTTGGGATGACTATGTTTTGCACTGCATTTAGTATGTCTTAGGGTTGTTCTCACTGCAAGAGCTTTATCACGGGATGCTGAGTCCCCACATCAGGCCTTAAAAAAAAGACTTGAGAGAAAAAGCTGGTTTTACGGTCTCAAACCTTTTTTTCCAGAAACAATGCCCTGAGGCAGGAGGGGATGGGTCCCAGAATGCAGCCCGTATTCACCATCCTGGCAGGTGGGCTACCTTCGTGGCCATCTCACGGATGTTTGTTCAGAGTTCTGGGAGGATTCATTTTTTTAGAGAGAGAGAGAGTGCGAGTATATGTATATATATCTTATATGTATATAAATATTAATAGCTAATAAGTTTTGGGGTTATATTAATTAGCTTTTATAGTTAAATATACAAGCCCCCCCCTCTTGTTTTCTGGCTCCTTGGCTTTGCTTTGTCCCAGCTAAGCACAGCAGTGTCCCCGGGGGCTGCCAGCTCTGCTGGGGGACAAGGTGATCATGCCCAAGCCCGAGTCACAGTGGCCACAAGGCAAGCTTGCTTGAAGCAGGGCACCACAACGAGGTAAGGATCACAAACAGCTTAAAACCCTCAGCTCACCAAAGCGAGGCATCTCAACCCTGCACAGGGGCCAGCACCGCAGGTGTTTGCTGGCGTGTGGGTGAGCGGCTGACACTGCTGTTCTCCTTGCCCAGGGGAGGTGGCCGCTGTGCAGGGCACCAGTTTTGATCTCCGGCAGCCTGTGAAGCTGGGGAAGCACTTGCAGAAGTTTCACCTGGATGGCTTTGACCACAACTTCTGCCTGCCGCAGGTGCAGGCTCGACGCCTTGCGGCCAGGTAGGCTGGGACCGTGGCAGGGGTCCCCCACCGTTGGAGCCACGGGGCGCCCGTTTGGCCAACCCCTCGGCATCCTCCACTGGCATCTCCCCAGGGCTCGCCACCCACCCACCAGCAGGGCCATGGAGGTTCACACCACCCAGCCTGGCATCCAGTTTTACACCGGGAACAACCTGGACGGCTCCCTGAAGGGCAAAGGCGCCATCGCATACCCCAAGCACTCGGCTTTCTGCCTGGAAACCCAGAACTGGCCCGATGCCATCAACAAGGTGAACCGTCCCCCCACCCCAGGGAGCTGCTTGGGTCCTGCGGTGGGGGACCATACCCCTCCCCCCCATGTCTCTGGGGCATTAAATATATGAACAGAGTCTGTTTGGTGAGGGTACACTTTGTAGACACCAGGATTGAGGCAGGCACAGGTCACAACATCCTGTGGCGTTAGGCAGGGGTTGGCCAGTGCAGTGGGGACTGGCCCCACACAGCCTGGCTTCCTGAGGGCACAGTGTCTAGAGCAGAAGACCCCACCGGGGCCTTGCCACGTCCTCTCCATGGGGCCTGAATTCAACCAGGGGGAGGACTCGCGCACTCGGCCAGCTGGTGGTTAAATGCTGCTGCTGGAAATGCTCGGGGGAGCCGTGGGATGCTGCCCCAGGAAGGCCGAGGGGATGCGGCCATGCCCTGGTGACCCTTTCTGGTCCTGTGGTGTGCGCTCACGGTCACTGACATGCTGCTGCCTCTCCCCAGCCCCACTTCCCCAACGCCCTACTCCAGCCGGGCGAGGAGTACAACCACACCACGTGGCTCGTGTTCAACACGCCTGCTTAAGGCGAGGGGATGCTGACTCCTAACACCGAGAGGGGTAAGTGCCTCTAGCAGGTTAGCCAGAAAGCCCACCAGGTGCCGAACGGCGCTTTCAAACTACGCTGGGTGATGCATCCCACTTGGGAACTGTTTTCCTCCTCTGTGGTTTTCACCCATGGTTTCTGCTGGCTTTAACTCCTGTCACCAGCTCTGCCGCTATCTGGTCTGTGCAAAGCTCTCGCCCTCTGTCCAGCGTGGGCATTAGGTTTTGTTTCGCAGTAAAAATGCACTGAAAACACCTTGTTTAGGGACATGGCATGTTGCAGCTCAAACTACAGCAGGAGAGTATCTGGTAACAGCCATGTGGAGCATGCAGGAAGGTTGATAAAGTTGTGGTTGTTCGTTACACCACCAGCTATTCCCAATAAAATGCTCTGAGCTGTGCTGGCTGCTGGTCTCTCCCCGCCACTGCCCTGCCCCACAGCTCGGTGTCAGCTCATCAAAGGGTGCCCTGCCCTTCCCCTGCGAGGCAACAGGGCAGCCCTCGCAGCTGGAGCCGCCAGTTCTGACAGCGTTGTGATGGCATGGGTACGCAGTAGTCACGCAGAATAGCTTTGCAGAGGATGGCGTGCTGGGATTATCCCAGCTGGCCACCCTGGCTCCTGTTTTGAAGCCAGCAGCGATAGCTGCACAAGAGCATCTTCTGTGCTACGCCTGGGCTGCTGAAGTAAAGCGGATGCATCCATCTACAGTCCTGAATATACAACTGCGGGAGGAAAACCATCCTCTTAATCTGTTTCCATGTGAAATACCCAAAA